CAATTGAATAGGTAATAAAAAGAAAAAAGGAAAAAGTAAAAATAAGAAAAAAAAAAAAAAGGAAGAAAGAATATTTATAGAATATTAATTTTCATATTTAATTAGAAAGAAAAACTTCTCGCGTAATTCAATTGATGGTCTCTTATGTAATTAATAATAATAATAATAATTTAAACATTAAAAAAAAGAAAAAAGAACAGATCCGCGTTACTAATTAATAATATCTATCGTTTATTTACGATATCTAATTAATAATCCTTGTAATAATTAATTTTCGTCTCGTTCCTTCTATTAATTTGCATTTATATTGTTGCAATTTATAGTAATAATTAATAACCTGATCTATCATAAAAAAAATATATAACACAACGATACCGCAAGCTCTCAAAGAATTTTTAGCAAAAAGCGAACGAGTGTAAATTTATTAACAATAATATTTATAATTATAATGCGAATTTCATCATTTCACAACAGTTCGAATTTTTCTCTCTGTTGTAACGCATCTCGTACTCGACTCATTCTTCGTTCAAAGAATCCATGAATCGAACGCATTACTTATCGAGGTATATCGTATATACACGATGATTTAAAATTAATTAAGGGAATCGATATAATCTTGCACAAATATCGGATACAACGGATCTAATTAAATGCAAATTATAAATCGTTCGCGTAGAAATCTCGCGCGTATAATTTAAAACTAGCCGGTTGCGAAATTTTACGTGTGCTTGTGCATACTGGACCATCGTGACAAGGATTCATCATCATCGTTCGACTTTTATTCCGTTTCCATGACACGGGGACGAAGGCTGTGAACTAGATTCTCGCAAATAGGGACAAAGATTAATGATTTATGAACCGATCCTCGATCGCATTGACTCTGTTGCAAAGAAATTCTTTAGCACCTACCCTCGCCGCCTGGTCGTTGGCAATTGGCCTGGAAAAGAAATTTCTCGTTAACTGATAACGTTCGAGTCAACGGTTCAATCAAGATAGATTACATTTTTAGATTACATTCGAAAACGCGTATTGTGAACAGATCGTTTAACAAATAATTGGCTGGTGATGAGTAATTTTGTTGTTTTTTTTTTTTTTTTTCTACCAAACTCTAAATTTAATACATTTATCAAAAGCGATTATCGATCCAAGCTTGGCTCATGCAGCGTGACGTTCCATTGCAAAAGGTGATCACGATGTTGATCAAGCTGTTACGATACACACATATCGTACCTAATCGATCTCCGTTTAAAACAGTTAATCTTGCAATTTTATCTAACAAATTTGCGTAACTATGCTCGATTTTTTTAGGCAAACAAGCAAAAAAAATTTTCTCTTTTTTTGAAAACGTCGTAAAACCGAATTAAATACGATCGAGTAGCGGAGAGGAGATAGAACACTCGTGGGATAAAACACGTTTCGAAATATTTTTTTCTTTTTCGGTAGAAACCCGAATGTTTTTGATACAGCGCAAGATTGTAGTATCGAAAACACTCTTCGACCTCGTATCCCAGCGAATCTATTTATCTTTATTATTATCTTTATTATTTTCTCTTTTCGTTCGATTCGTTATAAAATATTTCTTCTCAACGTGTTTATCAACGTAAGGCAAACTGTGAAGCATCGAGGTGTAAATATTTATACGAGGCCGTAGCTTCTCGCTACGCAAATTTGTCTTTCCTCCTCCTCCTCCTCCTCCTCTTCCCCCTTTTTTCCTCTTTTTTTCTTTTTCTTTCTTTTCGAATCGAAGCGAAGAGAAAAGGTACGAATAGAAACGTAATGGTTTGTGCACGTCGATCGAAACTCTTTTTTTTCTTTTTCTTTCTTTTCGAATCGAAGCGAAGAGAAAAGGTACGAATAGAAACGTAATGGTTTGTGCACGTCGATCGAAACGATAGCTATCGAAGGTAAGTAACAAGCAATAATTTCGCAAAATAGGGTCCAAGGGTCATCCGAACCGTCGTCCTATCGATGGCAAAACTCCAGCTTTCTTTCCAGAATGGAAAGTAAATGGCCTTCGGAGTCCGGCGACCGATCTCCGTGTTACATTATGTAAAAAAAAAAAAAGAAAAAAAGAAAAAAAGAAGAAAAAGCAAGAAAAATCGTCTAGCCGGTTATGTAGCTCGTACGCGGAATACTTTATTTCTCCGCGGTCGTATATCTCGTCTATTTACAAGATCGACCGATCGATTTCCAAACTTTGATTTTTTTTTAAAAAAAAGCGAATCGAATAATTAATCGAATCGAACAAATTCTCTTTCTTACGATCGTAATAAACGCGATAAATTCATACATTGTAATGGGATTTTCGTATTTGGAGATATATGATTGGATGAATCGAACGAGGAAGAAGATAAAGAAATGAAATCTATATCACGATGAACGACTTTCACGATGTAACTCGAGCGTGAATGGAAATTCGATGGAGAATAATCCTTCTCGTTAGTGTAACTTTTGTTAAGTCGTGTATAAATTGGTGATTCGTTGCACGCAGGTAACCGGTTTAATTAATAAGCTAGGTCAAAGATTTTCTAGCAATTACCTTTTTTTTCTCTCCCCCCCTCAGGTACAACGACCCGCGTAAGCGGCTAGACGCGTTGAACTGTGGATGATGCGCAATGGAAGAGAGATACGATCGGCGACATTATTGCGTTTTCCGCGCGTAAAAATTACAGAGACAATTTTATATCAAGTAACTATGCGATGCGCGTCACAAAACGTTGGGTTGGGGAAAAATATTGCTCGTTTCTTTTCTTTTCTTTTTTTTTTTTTTTTCGTTATGCTCCCTTGCGGCTTATCATTATCCCGACTCATCGTCGTTCGTCGGTCTAAATAATAGGTCGATTCATTTATTCGGTTTGCCAATCGTTTTATTATGAGGAAAATGAGGAAAATCGACGAGCGTTTTGATATTATTAATTCGCCTACTAGATTTGACGTAATCCCACGGTGAAATCGAATATGGTGCATCTATTGAATAATTGGTCCGTGTCGCAATCGAGGTCTTGCGAAGTGAGTTTTAATCTAATTTGAATATTACATTACGAAATTATAATCTCGTACGAAATTCAAAATTTAATCGAAGAATTTTATTGCTTTTGCTTTTTGACGCGTGTCATAAATTTCACTCGACGACGATGCTACTACGTTTCAAAATGTTTTATGTTTAAATGACGTTACGATATTTTTCTTATTTTTATATACAAGGCTTTATCGATTAAGCAACGTAATGAGAAATTCAATTCTGGATGATGATAGATCGAAGATTTTTACGAATTTTCGGACTCGATTCGATCATCCGATCGATTTAGGTTAGATCCAGATGGGATCAGTGGACAACCCTTTTCGAGGAGAGACAAATCGTTACGTCACGTAACGAAACTGTGTCTCGTTTCAAAATTGAATGTCCATATACGCTCGATCCCCTTTCCAAATCACGTAACTCGTTATCTCGTTATGCGTCACGGTTTAACACGTGGCGATTTGAACTTAGCCGATTTCGTGGATATTCGTGGAATACTTTTGGAAAGGGGCGATTCGAGAAACGAATGGAAAGACAAAAAAAGGAAAAAATGAAAAACTTATTTATTGGTAAATAATTATTAATGAATATTAATTGATTAATCATTAATCGATAAATATTTATTAGTAAATTACAAGCAATATTCTAGAATCTTTCCTGTAAACATATGCATATAATATTGCTCGTCGTCGAGTAGAAAATATATTTAACTGAAAACAGAAATGAAAAAAGATGATGGAATTTGAAATTTCGAAATTTCTATTTTAATAATCGGTCTATTTTTTTTTTTTTTATCTTTGTTACGCGTTGCCCGCGTAAGAACGATTTCGTGGTAAAGAAAAATTTGCAAGATATTCATTTTAAAATTGGAACGAGGTTCTTAACGTTGCCTTCTCTCTTGGTGGATATATAAATGGATATATAATAATAATAGTAAAAAAGCAAGTTAATGTATATGTTTGATCAAAGTGGAGAACGAATCAGGTCGAATCGAAAGTGTCTATTTAGTGACGTATTCCGCATCCTTGGATTATCAGGCACGCTTATGACTTTAATTATTGTATATCATTAATTAGAAATTGCAAGTAACATCTATTATTATAATTAATGCTATTATATTCCGATCACGAACAATATTTTTAAAAGTAATTAAAAATAATTTATCTCTCATGCATTATTAATGTTTCATTAATATTTTCTCGATAAATATGTCTCGTAATCTTGATTTACAACAATCGAACAATGAATTCAATTCAATTGAATTTCAATCAAAAGACGGAACACTTTTTTTTATTTCTAATTAATATACAAAGGAAAGAAAACGTTATTTTTCCTCTATTAAAAATTGCCAACAAATCTAAAAGTCAATATTTCTAAATCGATCGAAAAGACAGTTTAGTTTCAACTGCATCGTGCTCGAGAAAGATATTCTAGAATTCTATTCTAACGTTTCATTAATATCTTCTCGATGAATATCGCATAACACGATCTTCTAACGATTTATAACAATCGAATCAATGGATTCAATTTCGATCAAAAGGCAGAACACGGAAAAGCAGTACTTTTTATTCTCATTAATATAACAAAAAAAAAAAAACAATTATTTCTTCGATCCTCCATTAAAACAAAAATAAAATTATTGATTATACGAAGACACAAGTTTCAAGTGTCCTCGAAAAAGATATTCCAAAACCCTTCTATTCTAAATAGAACGTTCCTTAAAATTTAAAAAAAGTTATTAAAACTCGATAAACGAACACGATAAATAATAATCGATGCTTCTCGATCGAGAATCATCGTCAAACTCAACGTCGATAATTCGCTACCCCTTCGATATAAAATCTAAAAAAAATAACTACCAACTCGAAAAGAAAACGAAACAAGGATGTTTCGTTTACACTCTTACTAAACGTTCCGGTTTACTGGTGGTTATGCTAACATAATCGGCTGGACGGATCATCATAGAGGGTCTGGCATAGGGTTTGGGGGGATAGGCGTGGGGTTGCTGCTCGTTCGAGCTGTTCGACGAGGTGGCCAGAATTGCAGAAATGGCGTTCACCAACGAGGCGACCACTTTTAATATCGCGTTAAGGATGTCATTGATGGAGGAGCCGAGCGAGGTGTTCTTCGACGGTGCATTAAGCTGAAAAGTTGAGAAGCGGCGTGTAGTAGCGACCGTGTGGTGTGTGATTGATAGGCACATGATTTAAATTTGCATCGCGGACAGGGTGACAGTAATGTTTCGAGCGAGTGAAAACGAAGCGTTTTGAAACTTACATAAGCGTTATAAGAATTGCCTGCACCGTACGCAGCCTGGCCTCCGTAAGAGTCTTTGTTCCCGCTCGAGCCGGCGCTCGTTCCTGCCACCGATCCTGCGACCACAGCTTTCACGAGGCTCGTCAAGTCTGACGCGCCACCAGCCCCTGAATTCTGTAAAAACCAGGGGGGAAAAAAAAAGGAACCATTAAAGAATGTTCTGTATCAATATCACGAGATATTTATATAATTCGTCGAACGATCGAATTTCTGCAATATTTTGTCGATCGAGAAAAGCAATTGTAATTATTATCCGAAGAAATGTATCGAGAGGAAGTGCACACACACACACACACACGACATTAGCAGTTTATTTAGAGAATTTATTTAGAGAGAGACAAACGTTCTTTAACAAATCGATTCGTACTTTGCTAAGACTAGAGACGATTCCGGCGATCAGGTTCGAAAGTTGCGTCATCTTTCCATACGGGCCGATTGGCTGAAAGGATTCGTTTCGTCAGATTATACAGTTCTTTCTCTCAGTTGTTTAGGAATATGAATGATATTTACCTCGAGCAACGGAGCCAAGAAACCCTTGATCAAGTTGCTGATCGACGATCCTTGACCCGGAGGCTGAAATTCATTCTCTTCTAATATAAAATAACGATCTTTTTATTAATCTTATAAGGGATCATGGTATATTTACCTGGCTGCTCTGGCGGCTCAACGGCACGACCAACGGACCAACGAGGGGTCCTATGAGCGGCGCGCTTAGTTGAAGCAACGGTGTCAAAATGGCGGCTGAATCCCTCTGCCCGTCCTCCTGAAAATCATCTCATCAGCTACCTCTTATCCTGCTTACCTGCGTTTTTTCGCCCCTCTTCGTTCGATTTCTCCGCGAAAAAAGTTGGTTGACAAAAGAAAAACAATTGTTGACAACTCACTCCGCTAATTTGCAACAAAATCGGGACCAATAATCCTGGAAAGTCGACACCTGGCGTTTCGTCGTCTCCCTGAAAGCGTATTTACTCTCTGTTCTTAAATCAACGACGAGGTTACTTGGTGATTACTCATCGTCATCATCGTTCCTTCTTACTTGCGACAAGTCTTGAAGCAACGGAATCGCTACTTCGAGCACATCGGTAATTTCGGTTTCGGATTCAGGCTGAAAGGGTTGAGAACAAGATGGTGAGGCGGCGCGATATTAGAAATTTCGAAATCTCTCTTTCTTACGTCGCTCAGATCTTTCAGAATTGGCGCGGCGAGTTGAAGGAGATCGAGGATAGCGTTGATAGGACCGCCTCCTTTCTCGTCCTCGTCCGAATTTTCTTCGCTGGAAGCATTTTCGTCGTTGGACTTGTTCTCGGTTCCTCCCTCGACCTCTTCCTTGCTCTCCTCGCTAACCTCGTTGCTCCTTCCTTCCTTATCGCTCTGTCGATCCAAGATTTCCTCCATATAAATTATACGCGATAAATCGTAGAAATATGCATACGAGGTGAAATCGAACGTACCTCGATTTGTTGTTGCGCCACAGACGTCTGATTACGTCTTCCTTGTCTGAGCGCAGACTGAAATAAACGAATCGTCTTCGTAAGTAAGGTTTCACTTTTTTCTTTTTTTTTTTTACTTAATCGTTTTTTTCTTTCTCTCCTCCTTCGACTCCCCGTGTCGTTCACTCGCGCGACTCAATCAACGCAATCTTTCGTTCGATCGATCGACCGGTCCAAAGAGACAGCACAGCGCGAACCAATAAAATCTGCCAGCAACATTTCACTTTCGATACCCGTTCGATCCTTCTTTCCACGGTTCAACAATCCTGCCCGATTCTACAATCCGTCAATGCAGTATGCATCACGATGGAAAATCACGAAATCGAAACATCGAATTTGGAAACATCTACATCGTTCTTACTTACAACTGGATTCTCCGTCGAATAAAGCTGCGTCCTCGTCGATGGCGGTGCTCTCTCACGCTCTGGACTCCTCTGCGTGGAAGCTTGCTCTCTCAACGGAACAGGGGGTACAAGATTGGTCGCAAGGGTGCCATTCCTGCTTCTAAGCGCGACGAGCGACTCGATCAACCGAGCGAGGGACGCCGCCCGATTCTTCTCCGATTTCCGCCTCTTCGATTTTTCCTCTTCTTTCTTCTTCTCTTGCTTCTTCCTCTCCTCCCTCCCTGCCTCAATCGGCTGGCCTTCGTCGAGCACAACGTTGATCCGTTGGCCGGATTCGTTGGTCGAAGCGTGACTCGAGGTGTCGAAGTAAGGTGGAAATCGATCCCCGGGGGGAGAGTCGTCCTTGCTCGGTGCAACGGAATACTTGCCACCCTCGGTGTTTCTCGGTGTTTCGAACGTGATCACCGCCTCGAAGGGAACCTTGAACGGAAGAGACGTGACGGAGCTCGCGTTCCGAGACGGAACGAGAGGGACGTTTCTCGGGGAGGCGATCTCGTCCCCGGCGAAGAGCGGAGGATCGACGTTGCTAGAAACGTTCCCCTCGACATTGTCGAACAGATATCTGGCGACGAACGGAAACTCGAGATTGTCGGAGGTGAGGGCTGTGGTCGTGGTCGCTGGCAGATAAGCTCTGGTAGGAGGCGAGACCGAGTTCGTGTCCGGAAAGATGTCGTTCGGCCGAAGCTCGATCGCCGGCCCAAAGTTGGGAAATTGGGGGACGAACAACTGTCGATCTCCCGTTTTCGAGAAAGATTTCGCGTCGAACGAATCCTTCGCGTCCGGTTCCTTGATTCCACCAGGCTTTGGGATGCTTGGTGCATCGAGAGGGATCGTGCCGTCGAAAATCGGTCGGAAAATCGGTTGTCGATCGTTGAACGAACTCCTACCATCGACCATCGTTGGCAACTGGGGATACGCCTTCTCTCTCGACAATTCTCCGTTTTCCACGATCCTGACTGGTATCTTCTCTCGATCGACGACGCTCGCTACGTTCCTTACGTTCTCCGCGTACCTCGTGTTCTCGAAACTCTTCGCGAAATATCCATCGATGCTGGGTCCATCGAAATACCGATACCCCGAATTTGTAACGGGGAGGCTCTGTTGAATTCGTTTCGACATTTTCTCCGTCTCTCCGACCATTCTCGACTCTTTCACCGTGGTCAGAGTGATGTTTATTCGGGACGCCATCAAACCCATCACGTACCTGGCCCACGCGACCAGGTCCTCCTTCGTTGCGATCCTCAAAGGTAATTGAATCTCCAGAATTTTCGGCACATCGGAGAAGCCAGCTTCGTCGTCCTCGGACGATCGCCTCGAGGACGGAGGAGCGGGCATCGAAATCACCAGGTTGGCCCCTATAAACAGGAGCAACGGATAGAACGATCTTCTCGACAACAGGAACAACATTTTGGATTATCTCGAATTTTCGCTCGATGATGTATCTTCTACGCGACACGCTCAATCGATGCTCAATTCGGTCCGCGCGAGTTCGTACGACGGAACGCGTTGACGCGTCATTTCCAATAACAAATTCCTTCTTCTTCTTCTTCTTCTCGAGATCTATCTATCTTGGAGAAAAGTCGGGGAGAGGATCGTGCGCATCGGGGCAAAGAGAAATCGTGGAATCGCGACTGATGGCACGTATCGAAAAAATGGTCGCTTTATAGCCAGCCCCCTTTTCTTCTTCCTTCCTTCTTCCTTCTTTCCTACCTACGAACCGTGTATTTTTCCCGATATTGGCAGCGGCTAATGACAGTGCGACGAGCACGCTCACTTCCGCCGTTGCATTCGCAATTATGGGGGTGCGATTTCTAATCGAGGAGGCGCGGTGCATGCCGACGACAGGCTTTCGCAACCGGGGGAGGGGGGGCCGTCCAAACGAAACGGATTTGCCAATCGGTTTTCAAGACGATCGTCGACGTAGGATACGCCTCGTATCGAGCATCTTTCATCTCTTCTCTCTCAACGGATTCGAAGATGGTCGTGACGCTTTCGTTTCGAGGGATCGATTATTCAGGAATTCGTGATCGTGATCGGGAATGAGAGGCTCCGTTGGGTCGGGTGAATAAACTCGGTTTAAGTTGAGGAAACAAAGCAAGGACAAGTTCGACGCGCTCCCACGCCGCGCTGAGAAAGTTACCATTCTGGTTCCTGCTCGTTCAATCTATCGAATCGGCACAAAATGTTGTTTTAAAATTTTCCCCGAATGTTGCATTGACCTAGTATTTTCCACCAACTGCCGATTAACCATTGTCTTTTGTATATGATAATAAAAGTAATCGTTAAACGATTTCGATAACTCGTGTAGAATAAACTCGTGTTATCGTTGACGCATCGACGTGTAATATGAAGATTCGTTATAAAGTCATCGTTTTATCCTCGTAGTCTTGAGATTAAAAATATATGGCGTTCATTCCACTGGAAAAAGAAATCGAGAGAGAGAGAGACGTACGTTCGATTACACGACACATGACACACGGATCATGCTCGATCGGATTACATATATTCGTAAATTTCGTAATATATCGCTCGAGCACCGTTAAATCGGTTTACTGGCCGGCCTTAAGCGGTTTTATCGCGGCACCAGATGTCGAGTGAACACCTTTTATGGTGCAGATCCTTTCAAGGTCGTTGCTCGATAGAATTACAATTACCTCGCCGATTCCATCGTCCATTTCTATTCTCTCCTGATTAGAAAGAAGCGTGCATCGAGAAAAGAATTTTCATTCTTATTTATATTGCGACAACGTCGGCTCGAGTCGCGTAAATCCGTTTTTTCTTTTTCTTTTCTTTTTTTCCTCCCTTCTCATCGACAATCGATGAGCATTCGTGAACGAATACTTATTCCAAAGAGTTATTAAGAGACGAAATTGTTTAATATGGAATCATCTATCCATATTTCGTCGTTTCTAACTTTTCATGCGATAGGTGAAAGGTTTTTTTTTTTACAGAGAATTACAACGTTCCGTGCATTTGACTTGAAATTCTAATTTTTCTTATCTCGTATGCACTATGATTACATTTTTCCTTTTTTTTTTTTTTACATTTCCCTTCCAGCAGGATTAAAGGTTATTTATTAATAAAGTTGGAACAAATTATTTTTTTTCCGTTCTGGATCAATCACCACGCGATTAATTTGCAAAACTTCTCTACGTACTTTCCATTCTAAACGTAAACGTAACGGTTGACCGATTATTATTATTTTTTTTTTTTACGTGAAAAAATTCCGTCTAGTTTTAACAATTTTTCTTTTTTTTTTTTTCTACATCCCGATCGATTTGACGCAAAGTTCCACCAAGTATCGTAGAAGAAAAAGGCATGCATAAATTAGGCGTGCACAATGGTGACGTTTCCAAAATAGATTCCTTGGTTTTTTTTTTTTTTCGTTGCTTTCGACCTCTTTCGTCATGTCGTACGGTCAAAGTACAGGAAACCAAATACCTTTCACTTTATACTCTGTTCTGCGATATTACGAAACCGAATAATTAATATAATTCGTATTTTTTATTAAGTTGCATAAAAATTCGCACGGTTACCACATCGAAAACGCGATAAAGAATTCGACAACGTGTATATCCGTTGTTTTCTCTTCCAGATAGTAACAATAGATATTTAATAATTGTAGACACGGGTAAACGATACAACAACAACGAATTAGTTAGATCGACGGCTTTCACGTGAATCATCCTGTGTTAATAGATATATCTTTAAATAAGGTTTAATAATTTAATAATATTTTTTTAACGGACACGCTTGGCCAATCGTAGCGCGGGTCAGAGAGAGAGAGAGAGAGAAATTGAAACGAAGCCACTTTCTATCGCTCTAGATCCATTCAGTCTCTGTTAGGTAGGTAGGACATTCTGTCTGTGCCGTTTTTTTCCCTTCGTTATTATTATTATTATTTCCTGTTATTTTTTTAATAACGTTCGATCGGGACACGAGAGTCTGGTCCACGAAAGAAGAAAACGGGTTCGATTTCCGTAATCGGTAATTTTATTTTCTCGTTGGAATAAAAGAAAGAGAGAGGTAGAGGCGAGAATGAAAAATTCGAGCTCGATCGAACAACGCCATTTTTCAAATTTATTATTAAGAGACGTAAAAAAAGAATTATCTGGTACGGTTTAATGATATAAATTGAACTGAAGCAGTTGCTCGTCGAGTCGTAAACGCTGTGAAATATAACCGTTCAAAATTGCGCAAAAAAAAAAAGGGGGGAAAAAGTGAGGGGATTATGGGAAAAACTGGTTGCCATAGAATTTTATCAATGTACCGTTGCACGGTTCACATTTAACATTACTTCAACTTTCGTTCGATCGGTTAGCTGTTTCTTTATGGGTCATCGATAGCTATTGCACTTGCGACGTTTTTAAATATTATATACAAATACACGTATAAATACATATTCTACAAAAATCGGACAAAGAAAAACGGTAAAATCGTGATTTCGAAATCGAGAAAATTAATTCAAAAATAACTTGCGAAATTTTTCTTTTTTTTTTTTTTTTTTTCTTTTTTTTCAGCGTACAATGATTCGATCAGCATCATACCAGGACCAGTCCCCACGAGGGGAGCGAAAAATCGAAGAGGAACAAACGAGCGAAGGGTTAGCAAAAGGGTAACAAAGGTGCCTCCGTCTAGCGATCGTAGATGGAAGCAATAATAATCGAAGACTCTTGGCTATCGATTCACAGGTTTCTCTGACAGTCGGTAAAATCACGATCGATCAACGGCGATCGAGAAACATAGCCTAACCCGTGCTATCGTTCTCGGATCTTTTTTCTTCCCGAAAATCAAGAAGCTTGCGACAACTTTTTCTAAAAAATAAAAAAGAATAAAAAAGAAAATACTAATCGGTTTCGTTTCATTCTCGTTTTGTCGGAGAAAAGTACCACTTGCAAACGATCAGATCGAAAATGATTCCTAGTTTAGCAAACGGTCGGTTTCATGCAAATGGCGCGAATTACAAGGTTAACAACATTCGCGATACGGCCATTTCTCGAATCGATCTACGATCCCCGTGATTCTGACTGTTTGGCCTAGCGCGCCGCGTTGCGAAATTACCGATAATTATCGTTGAAATCGGCGAAGTTTATTTTTATTTCCACATGTCCCCGTGTTCATTTCTCCCCCTTTTCTTTCTTTTTTCTTCTTTCCGTCGGATAATTACGTTTACGGCCGGCGATTATTATTAGCGCAACGAGAGAGTTTTCAAGCTCGATTGGCGTGCTATTTTCGCGCCACGATCCTCGCGTTTTCGAGAGAAAAAAGAATTGGGAACTCGAAACTTGCACGAAAATTGTGCTAATATCGCGAGTTGCTTTGCTTGCCCTTTGAAAGAAGAAAAAAAAGAAAAATATTACGTTTGTTATTTATGCTCGTGAAAGTAACGGATTTTAAATGATTTTTCTTGTTCGAGGCTTCTTTGTTGTTCGGGAACGAACAAACCTTAACTAATTATATCACGTGTTGCCACGTATATTAAGCCATAAGGCGACGAAGAAGAAGAAGAAGAAGAAGTTATTCGCATAAATAACAAGAGTGAGGAAATCTCTTGTCTTGTGTAGAAAACTGTCTAAGCATCCCAATCGATCTTACGAAATCTCTTCCATTTTCTTAACGCGCATTAAAATGTATCTCGTCGCTTCTGGTTACCGTCATCGATTCTCAATTAAAGTCCCATTACGAGGAATTACATTGCATTTGCATATGCACGACCGAACAACCGTATCGGTCGACGAAATTAATGTTTAATTAAACGATTAATAATAATTTAAAAACAGCCAGAAAAAATCGTCTTCTTTTTTTTTTTTTGGTAATCTTCTCTTTTTTTCTTCGAACGCTACCGTTCGATAATTCTTTCTCTCTCTCTCTCTCTCTCTCTCTCCACGAATGCAAATTCTTTGGCCGTATCTTTTGCCCCCTGTTTCTATGCAAATTGTGAACGCGTGAATTTACGTAACGCTTCGTCTCGACGATAAGTAATCGGATTACATCGGCCGTGTACGGAGAATTCGTCCGTCCGGTTCGAAAGTCGCGGGAACGTGAATCATCTACGGCCGGTGTGTTGTTTCCTCTGCGTCCTTTTTTTCTCGTTGAGTTGCAGAGATAGAATCGTGTCACGTGACACTTTCACCATCGGGCTTCATATCATTTCCGGTATACGCGTCGTTTAAAAAGATGGCCCGTGTTTTAAGTGATTATTGGGGAAGAAGAAACGAGCCCAATAGTGGATCGTATCAGTCGCAACGATATATCGGCGATCGATAAGTTGCAATTTTTTTCTCGAGGAACGAATAGGAAAACAAGTTTTCATTGGTCATAATGGTCGAACGAGGGGAAAAAAATTTTTTTTCTTCTCTTCTTCTTCTCTTTTTTCGTAATAAATATTCATCGTCTCTTTAATCTCGTGCGTTTTTAATAAATTTGCATTTAACGAGACAAATATTTTCATCTGGAATAAATTGCATAGAATTGAACGTCAATGCGACGATTCAACCTCGATAAATTATTATCGAGAAATGAGATTCGCGATTTTACACGGAACGTTAACTTTGTATTTGTGTGAAGCGAATACGGACGGAAAAGAAAAAAGAAAAAAAAAAAAAAAAAAAAATAAGAAAAATCTTAACCGAACTATAACAACTATAATAATATAT